TTTTTTTTTTTTTTCAGACTCGGAGTAAATCCTCATCAGGATCTCAAATACTATTTGAGAAATTTGCTGGAGCATTTCCTTACTGACAGAGGTGTCTGTTTCCAATCTTCCAAACTCCGCTTTAGAAAAGAGAGGTATAATATATGAGTAAGTGCTGTAATCTCACTTATGGTTGGATTTCGCACTTATACTCGCTTTTAGGCCATAATACGTCTGGGGCATCTGCTTTTACAATTCTTCATGTAGCAGACCGCCAAGAATGCGAAGGCCGGCCCGGTTATCTGTAGGGGTTGCCATGTTAGTAGTGCTACTGAGATCCGTCCTGGCGCAGCTGTTGCCAGGTTTTTCGATCCTGGACACCACGACTACCAGTCCCTCTCCCATAAAAGATTAAATACCGAGAGGTGAGGATTTAAAAATTCGTGAAAATGATCTACAATTTTCAACAAGCCATAAAATTAGCATCAATAGATGCATAAAAATATTCATTTTCGGGAACGCTCGTTTTTATGATAGAGGATTTAAAAGAGAATGCGGATTGTGCTGAAAAAAAATACAATTCTGATCTGGATTTTTTACAAATTGCAGCACTAAACAGAAGCCATGGCTGGAGTTTTTTGGGGCGAAATCGAAGAATCGGTAGAAAATATCTGTGGTGTGGTGGATCACAATAAGCATGCATTCTTTGTGACATGCACCGAAGATGATCCAATTGACCGCGAATACACCACACACCAAATCTACGACGATAAAGCTCCCGATACAGTATGTAGAAATCTTATTGGTTTTTTTTTGCACACAGAAGGAATAGTTTATCGGGACGGTAATATTGAATCGTGAAGCCGCGTTGAATCTCAGTATCTAACATGTACGATTTCTGTGAAATTTACAGAGAAATATTGTCGAACTTCGCCGTATCCGCGCGAAAGGCTTAGGCATTTGTGAAAGTTGATTTTACGTTTTCAGTAACGGCAGTATTCTTGTAAAATGTCTGCCTTTTTGGCTTTCTGATCAGTGAAAAAGAAAAAAGATAAAAATTTTGCAGTTTAAAAATCTTATTCATCCGTGCGCTGGGCACATGCAAAAGCAGAAGCTAATTTTAGTCTACTGACTTGCAAATGAACAATGCGCAAAATTGCGGCTTCCGGCTTAGTCTAGTGGCATAGTAAATGGGTGCCAGAATAGCTAGCTCATGACGCTAGACACAATAGTGCCTTAAAGTTGCATTTAAAAGTACCAACTCGCCATAGGAGCAAAATATCCTCGTAAAATTTTAGCCACTTAGCTTGTCTTTTTCTCGAAATCGCCTCTTCGCTGTAAAAAGTTTTTGTTGTGCCTTTAAGCATGGAGCAGATATACTTCATGTAAAGGGGTCTGCTCATGGGCCGTAAATATACTCGCAAAATTTCAGCCATGTCTTTCAGGACAATTCTGAAGTTGGTATGTAGCCAAAGATAAACTTGTCATATCTGTAGGCACAGGGGCACTTGATAACTGAGTTCTGAATCTTTAGCTCACACATGAACAAGGAACACCCACGCGAGATTTTAGCTTTCTGTCCTATATGGTTCACGAAGTCGTTTCCCGCCAAAAATTTGCACGCTTTTTCAGGTGTTCTTTAGTGAAACCCAAGTGTTCTTTTTAGGTGTTCCTTAGTGAGCTTTGTTTTTAAAGTAGGAAAGTGGTGTCTGTAATGGAACATGCCCTTAAAATTTCAGCTTCTTATCTTTTCTCGTTGCTAAGTTGAAAATGGTTGACAAAATTCAATCACTTCCGAACAAACACACAAACAGACAACCTCTATACACGTTTTTGCGCTTGCATTAGTACGCAAAAACGCATAATGCCAAAACGCTGAAATAACAGTTATCAAAGTAATAAATTACCCCTTTACTTGGCTTACTTATATTTAATTTCTGTCTTCGAACATTGCAGTTCATTAAAATGCACTACACGGACTTGGGTTGCAGATGATGCACATGCTGATTGCAAGGCACGATAACATTATTGATCGCAGAAACACCGCAATTCATCGTACTGTGAAACTTTTAGAAATGACCAAAGGCCGTTCCATTCATTTTCCAAAGATTATTTGTTATGGCCGTTTAAAAAAGGTGAATTTCGCTAAATGTTCTTTCCCTAAATCAAAAATAGTACCGTAGGCGGAGTGTTTTTAATAACTCTTAAAGAGCAACAGGAAAATTGCCAAGATAATTGGCAATTAGTGTTAGGCTTAAAAACAGAATACGCACAACATACGTGGGCGGCTCATGTTAGTAATGTTGCTAGAATGCTCCCACACCGTAGATGCAACTATGCTGAGCTCTTCGATCCTGGGATGCACACCTCAACTTAGTACCCATCTGGCTTAAACGTTGCTCTAATCCACTAATGGGAAAAGCGAATCCTCTACAATTTAACTCTTTTCAACACAAAATGATTTGCTTACTATGAGCAACAGAACTTCAGTCTCTCTGCCTGCCTATCAAGAATCCCAAGAATACTGGTGTCAGGCCTGTTTTGGCAACATGCAGTATCATGTGAAGTTTTGAAGCAGATTCGGACTTTGACGCTGATTCACTAGGGACGAATATTGCAAGCTTGGCTAAACAGGCACCAAGAAAATTTCTACGTATTTCAGGTCAAATCTAAGAAAGAAAAAATTTATAAAATTACAAAAATTGACAGCTTGGCTAGCAAATGCTTGCTGTTAACGCTTGCTACCTCGAAAATTTGGTACCTTTTACAGCACTAACTTTCAGAACCCACTCCACTGTGTTACCTCCTACTCCTTCGCCAGATCAAAAACGCGCCACCGTCGCTCTCAAAAGAGGCATCTGTTCCCCATAAGTCTTTTTAAGCGCATTTGAAGAATTATGCAAGGAAATTGGAACAACAGAGGAATTTTGTGCAAAACAACTAGCATAAGAGTGCATTCAAACTGGAGAAAAATGGAGAATTTGCCAGCTGTATCAGTGACAGAAAGTAGCGCTAATGATAATCATTATTATTAATAATAATCGCTAGTATAATCGCCAGTAATTATAAATACTATTATTGTAAGAAAGGTAATTACGATAGTAATAACAATAGTTATAATTGTAATAATGTTTATGATATAATGCTGACTACTGCAGAACAGTCACAGCGAGGGAATACGAAATGAATTTTGGTTTTTGGGATTTTCTATCCAATGAAAATCATAAATTGATAAAAAGCGGTTAAGATGATATTTGGCGAGAATGGGGACCAGGATGCAGAGCGTGACCCGGAATGGATTGGCCGACCATGTGCTATCGTTGAATATAATGCAACACTGATTGGCTCATTATTGGCGTTGTCACCTACTGGTACCGTCCCTCTGGACTTGGCACTGGTCATTATGATGGGCTGCGTTCGTGCGCTCGCATCGCTTCATCGACTCGGATATGTGCATCGTCAAGTCTCGCCTTACTGGTGAATGCCATTGCTCCACAAATCGAAATCCAAAAAATCACGGCACAAAAGTCGTCTGGATTTTAGTGAATACGGAAATCAGATATTGCTAACTTCTGGTTTAAAAAAATGGCCATTTTGCCAAAAGCAACAGAGTCAGAAATCAAAATCGCTTCCATATTCTCATTGAAAGACGCAGGCATTCCAATATTTTCCAAGCCAGCCACAAGTTGTCAAAACTGCGGATAGTAATCTCTTCTGAGAGTTGCTTAGAAGGAAACTGATTGCGGATTTGACTTCCTGGCATACACATGCCGAAACGTATGAAAATATCCGTGGAGCTGGCTGAACAGACGATGCTTTTTTCTTTTAAGAATCGCTGAGGAGCAAGCTAAATACAATTTTCCTCTTCCTTTTCCCTGTCGCGTGACTTTTCTGTCCCAGTTAGAATGTTTGTAAGCGTAAACTACTATGCCAGCGTGACGTCAGGATTAGGAATATGTGACAAAAAATCGAATAGCACTGCATGCTACTAAGGGTAATAATTACAGGTAGCGACTGTATAATTAATGAATGAAGGATAATCACGAATTATTTATTTAATGGTAGGGAAGGAGAAAAAAGACGTGATTTAAAAATGCTAATTTTTGGTGGAAAAATTTGCTAGGCTATAACTGATCAAAATATTACGCAGTGTTTTATGTAGTTAGCAGCAAAACTAAGATTAGAAAATTGTTTGCTAGAATTAATGAAATCCAGAAACTTTTCTGCCCTGACTGCTTTTATACAATATGACCCCAAAGTGGGGAGAAAAAAAACCAGTTTGAATTTTAATTCACAAAAAAATTCTGAAAGGGAACATTTCGGGCCAAATTAAGCTGCACATTTTTTATTTTAGCGCCAGGTCTGGACCTTGTCAGCATGGAAATTGTAAAATGATAAGTTGAGATTTGAAAAAAACACCTTGGTAAACACCGTTTTCAAAAAATCAAAAAAAAAAACAAAAAACACCCATTTTTCAAGTAACCCTTTTAATTTTCAATATCGAAAATGGTTTAAAAAAAGTTTTTCTTAGCTTTGCGTATCGCAACCCGATTTCATATGATGGCCTTGAATCGCGCATTATGATCGTCGATCTCAGCTTAGCACTGCCATGGCCCTGCAAACCTCGTTCATTCGTGCCATTTGTTGGAACACTGCGGTACAGTTCGGTGCGAGCGCATCGTGGTCGAGAACAGGTTTGGTATTTACCAATGGAAAGAGCCGTAATCCGTAATTATTTTGCTCGGGGATGAAAGGCCAAGCTCGGAGATACGAGCCGTAATCTATATCTTTGGCTTCAGTCTCAAGCGTGAAACCCGGGTCGCTGTGGAGATGACGTAGATCGGTGCTAGTCCCGGGACATTGAATAATATGCTATTTTTTCGGAAACGTCTAAAATTTGAAGCAAAAAATGCGTTGGTGCTTCTTAAATTTCCTCACATAAATTGTAAAAATACAAAAAATAAAAAGAACAAAAAAATATTTTCCTAAAAAATTTTCTTGCTTTTTATGCTTAGTACACTTTTTACGTGAAAAAATTTAAATTTTAAAAATCCTACAGATAAATTTTTCTGGGAAAGTAATTTTTGCTTTCGAGCGAGGCTAATTTCTTATTCTTTATTGGCGCGAGAGTGTAGAACCCGATGGGTACAGAATATTCTGCTTGCTTTGCCAACAACTGTTGAGCGTTGCACATTAGTGAGTGGTACTTGCGAGAAAGCAAACGTTCGTCCGAGCGACTCCGAAGAGTTGGCAAAAATACACTGAAAAGGTGGTGGGCACTAAATGGAAGTGTGCTGTGCGGAATCAAAGGGCCACAGCTCGACGAGTGGGTACAACTTAAAAACAGAGGGTACTCCTACTGATTGTCCAGGTGTTCTTGTTATTTTTGGGATTTACACCGTGCTTTTCTTCCCCCGAGCCTTTTCTCATCTCCATTCTCTTTCCCCTATGCCCACGGTACCAATATGTCAAGCACAAGGAGGAAGCTCCCCAACCATGGACAGAAACGTCAGCAAAACTGCGATTTGTCCAGATGTATTCTCCATTCCAACCACTGGAAGTGAGCCTGCAATTCTAAACGATTCTGTAGGGGCCATCGGACGACATCATTTCACTGATTTATATGATTGCGGAACTGATCTCTGGAAAGCTGCCCTGGCGATCAGTGTTTGACGAGGAACGCGTCTGCGAAATGAAATGCTTATTCTTTCAAAATGTCGAATTCAAGCGACTGCCTAAAGAGATACGATCAATTTACCGGTACTTTTTCAGATATTTTTATTTTTTTATGCGTTTTGTGTTGCAACAGCAGAGAAAACCCGCGTTGTTGGGACTCCATGTGAGTGTGTGTGTGTTCAGATTTTCCGAGGTTTTCAGTTCAGCAGTCAGAAAAATACTGATATTTTCGGTCATTTGATTTTATGTTTTTCATACTCCAAGCACTTGGCTTAGTTAATTCATAGACTGATTGTCGAGCTATACAGTTAACAACTTTCCTTGTTGATTCGATCAGTGCTACATCGCCTGGTGGTCAGCTTGCTGGTCCACTGTAACGTTCGGACGGCGGAGGGGAAGTTGGGGCTGGGAGGGCCTGCCGGGCAGAGAGAGGTGCAACACCAGGTGAAACTTATTTATTAAAACAATATTAAAGAAATCCAAAAAAAAAACAAACCCCAAAAATTGCCCGGCAGCAGCTTCAAGCTGCCGCCGCACACATTCAGCCACCTCCAGAAAACAATAATTACACTCTCCCATTTCATTTTCTATTATCACATTAAACATCACGAAGGGGGGAACTCGAGGCAAGAGACGGGGCATTTACATATTACAGAAAACCGAAGGGTAACTGCACAAGGCGAAGGGGAACGAGCTTCCAACTTCGCTTCCTTTTTTCATGCTCCTTTTTTTTCCCTTTGCAACACCACGACTTTCGTTCCGTCGTCTCTTGAATGGATTTCCAACTAAACAGTTCTCTGAACAGAACACTTTTGACATCGCTTTAGCTGTCCGAAGTGTCCTTCATGTGTTTGGATCAAACACGATGAAGAACTGTGTTGACCATGAGAAAAAGCAACTTCCGAGATGCTATATCTGAGAATTTCTTGTATCGATGATCAAGGCGCAGAGCAATCTGTTAAGCGTCTACCTTAAACACAGACAGAGCCATAAATGCGAGTATGAACAGGAATCACCAGAACGGCTATGCATAGGATGTGCATATGACTAAATTCTTAAAATCAGATGAAGGAGAAAAGTTGGGATAGTAAAGTGGTGAGGAAATCATAAAAAGAGAAATGGCACTGCTTGCAATACAATAAAAGACACACGTTACCATGTTTATTAGTAGTTCACAAATAGCTTATTTTTCATCACCAAACTGTTGTTCAAGACAAAAAAAAAACAACGTGTTTTTTCCCAGAAAATTATCACCCCCCTCCACCTCCTCCAGCCCTCAACTCTCAGGCTTTCTTAAACATCCCGAAATCGTACATTATTCATTTATCACAGCCAGTGGATGAATACTTGCAGGCTAATGTACATGACGCTATCACCGTATCCAGTTGAACACCGGCTTATTATCGAGCAGGTCCAGGCAGCGCTAAAACGTCGTTATCCGGGTGACAAACGCGAGCTTCCACCATGGCTTGCCTTACCGATCGCCGAAGAATAGCATGATCCAGCGATTCGAACTTGCGCCATCCACTTCCTCCCTTCTCTCTCCCCGCGATTTCCCGCTGACAAAATAAAAATTTTCACATTCAAAGGTCAAAACACCGCGAATGGAGGTTTCTTCTCTAGCAAGACGGGACGCAAAAAGTTCGAACACACGTTTTCACTATTTTTGGATCCCTCAAATCGTGACACCTCACAAGAGTTTTGGAGAAAGGGTTCCGCATTTGACAGAGGGAGAGAGAGTAAAAATATCTAGATCTGTTAAATCTGCTTACAGCGGTTAATTTCTATTTTTTCTGGGTCTGTGCAAATGTTATCTGAAACAAAACAAAAAAAAAGCAGACAGCTCCAGCAAAAGTGAAAATGACAATTATCCGCTACAAAAACTGCTACTTTTTGGTGAAAAAATTTGCTGGACTATAACTGATCAAAATTATGCAGTCTTTTACGTAGTTAACAGCAAAACTAAGATGCAGCAAAACTAAGATTAGAAAATTGTTTGCTAGAATTACTGAAATCCAGAAACTTTTCTGCCCTGACTGCTCTTATATAGTATGACTCCAGAGTGGGGTGGAAAAAACCAACGTGGATTTTAATTCGGGAATTTTGCAGGAATCTCGGGAATTTCGGGAATTCAAGATTTTGCGGGAATTTCGGGAATTCAACCCCACTCTGGAGTTTTTCCACCCCACTCTGGAGTCATCCTATAAGAGTTTGCGGAAGTTTCCAGTTGTTTGAACAAATCGGGAGACATTTTGCTGCATAAAAAAAGCAATGAGGAAGATCTGAAGAAACACTGCTCAATCAACATACTCCGTAAAATTGAAAAAATCCAGGCTGCAACGCACCAAACGTGCTGGTGAGGTCATGCGTTTTTGCGCTAAACTTGAAGCATTCAGTTCGTTAGATGTATGAGTGGTTGTCGCTCTACATTTAACATGCGCATTCGTCACCATAAACCCCATAAATCATGCATAACGGAAAATGAATAATTTCCGTTGAATGGTCGACCATCGAAAATAGGTCCTTAAGCGTAAACCAGCTTCTGACTTTGTATGTTTTATCACACACGAACCCTTCAAATGTTTAGACTGTGATACTGTTTCATTCTTCTTTCTCGGTGACCAGACATCGAAGAAAACAGAAATTTTACATAAGTGCTGGCGTATCTTGTGCGCTACTGGAAGCTTAAATCAGCTTTTATAATTGCCTAAGCTTCACGTACGGATATGGAAAATTTGGGAGTGCACTTTGTTGACAACAGCTTCATGCAAAATCCACGGTAATCGTTAAGATTTCATGCAGCTGCAAGGCGCAACATTTTCCCCCCAGCTAGCGTTCTTTTCCCCCTTATGCAGGAAAAGAGCAAAACATTTACCAGTACGAGCGCACACGTTAAATATTGAAGCAATAACCGTTACTGTCAACGATCTGACTGTTTCAAATTTAGCAAAAAAGTGCACTTACCGGAAGCCTGGAAGGTTACTGCCTTTTTTATTTTGCAAAAGACGTGTGGAAGGCAATACTTAGTGCTGACGCAATAACGACTACTGCTTTTTGATAATCTCACTGTAATATTTTTCATCGCAACCTGTGATACACATTCTCCCAGCTTTCCATTCCAAAAAACAAAGGTAGAGGAGGTCCAGCCTTTTAATATAATTTCATATACATATCCTTTACATTTAATATATATTTTTTTATATTTCATACACATACATATTTCTTCTTAATATATATCGGGATTAATCTCTAATTTTACGTTTGTATTCAATCGAAGATCGAAAGGAAACCTAATTAGCATAAAACAGAGAACAGTATTAGGGATTATGCCACGTCGGAATCAATAGGAGTGTTTGTGATTGGGAGTTTGACAGAATTTTGGCTTTAGGCTCATCGTCAACCCCTTCATTCCACGGGATGCTGTTGCGATGAGGTGTATGCTCTCCAGAGTTTTCAGTAGAGTCTATCACTTGCTGCTCTACATGCTCAAACCACGTTTACAATCCTATATGAGAATGCCATGATATATTCAAAATGTTGATTCATTTAAAAAAGCAACATTTATCCCTCCCCCCTTGCCCCTCTCCACTCCTTCTCTCTTTCTTCCTCGTCTAAAGCCGAGTCAGATTATATGATTGGAGGGTATGGTTCCCCGGCAGTGGTTCTGCTATATATAAAAGGTCCACTCCTGATTTTTAGCTAAGGGCAGGTCTGGAAGAAGTTCGCTTCATTTTACATCTGTGAATTTAGGTACTATAAAAACTGCGCGCCACTGGAGTGGTTGGAAACGAAGAAGTGTCACACGCTCCCGCCAAGAAAGACGCGAAGGAACTGTCCCCAGCTTATTGGTTAAATCATTGCTACTCCTTCAAGATGACAGCTTTCTTGATGCCCATCGTCCTGATGCGAATTGTGTCGATGGTTGCCAAAAGCTCGGTAATTTTTTACAACAACCCTTTTTATACAGATTTAGATAAAGAAATCGTCGGTAATGGTACCTCTTTGATAGAGCGATGATATTTGCCAGACGAGTTTCCGACAAAAAATATTTTCCAACATTTCAGCTCATGAACCTCTATAAACCTGACTGGCTCGCACGGTTCATTCATAATGTCCATCTAGACAAAATTTCCTCTCTTCCACTCATTTTTGCAGCGTGTCCGAATTGAATCTTTACTCTCTCGCCAATGCTGCGGCTTCTTTCTTATTCAGATAATTTTTATCTTCCCAGTGGTCATTTTTTCACTTTAATTCTTTCGCATATTCTGCGACAGCGTGAGTGTTTCGGAAATATTTGATACCAGAAATTCACTAATTTCCCCAAGCCATTTCCGCTTACATGCACAAGCATAGTAAAAGTGAGAAAATTAGAGCAAGCTCAGGTCGGTAGCCTGCACCCGTGCAGAATAATTGGCCAACGCACGGGCTGCCCGTGCGAAGATGCGTTTTTTGCATGGTTTCCCGCAGTTTT